TTAAAAAGTAAAGAGAAAATAAACATCAAACAAAAAAGATACGGAAAAGAAAACTTCAATTAAGATGTATTATCCAAGATAAATCACAAACCTACAAAGCAATTTTCATGCACGCATCTTTAATGGGTGGTCTTAATAGAATTAGGCTCCAAACGGTGCAAAACGGTGTTAAGGCCTTGAGTAACTCTATCTCCACTTTGTGACTCCTCGGCTTTCTCTAAGATTCCTGGAGATCACAAGCGCTCTAATAAATTCAAAACCGACTTTGGCAGGCAAGGAGCTTCACCAAGTAGTTTACTTAAAGATTTGTCTAAGGTGGAAAAGAATCCCTACGAGTTTCGGCCTGCATTTAAAGAAATTTCCTCAGAAAGATAGACTTCTCAGAGGAAGAACAAGATAGGCATAATAAAACGAACATATACAACCGCTAGAAGGAATGTTTGGAAGCAGATATTTTACATGAGAAGAAATCGATTTCCTCTTCTGCCTCTCCAAATAACTTGTAGAGGACGCACAACATTAACTCGTGTCCCTGAAACCAGCCAATAATTATTGTTAGCTAGCATGGAGCTTAGATGAATTTAATGAACAATAAAGTAGTCCTTTGAAAAAAATCAGTTTGACAACAAAAACCAGTAAAAACATGAGCAGATTGGAAAGGTTGAGGTGATATTAGAAGATATTGATGGTCACAGCTGCCTTGTTTCAGCTATAAAGTCATAATTAAAGTAGTTCACGTCAAGTCAACAACTTGGGGCACATCCAAACATGAATAGAAATTGGAAATATCCAGTTACATCATGATTTATATTATCCGAAAAATGTGTTCTTGCAGAAGTTTCTATACGTCTAACTCTGATGGCAACTAAGAAAAGAAAGGCATAAATATGTTTAGTACAGAATGCCAAAACTAGCAAGACATTCACAAATAACAAATATGTCACAGCGAGAAGTGGTAGAAAGATATAAACATCCTTAAGAAGTCAGAATTATTACCTCGACTCCCAGTTAAGCAAGCAGACAAAAGCGAACTTGAGAACCTCCAGCTACTGCTATTTGCATATATGCGTCAATGATACATGTATAAGCCAACTTTTGCAAATCGTCTTTCTGATCATCAGAAAGATTGAAAACAGGTGCTGACATCTTGGGCAAGAACCAAGAACATGATGAAACAACAGACGCTGCTATTGAGGAAATCATACTGTTGGAATCAGTAACAGCTGCTTTTGGACTAAGCTCCTCAGACCTATCTGTTGATATTGATGGAAGCACATGCAGAGGTGACCTTCCTCCAAAACTTGTAACTTGCTCTTGGCTAGCATCTTCTAGAGCAGTAGAGACCAAAGAGGAAGCAGCTGTGTGTATGACAATCCATCATTACGAACAGAAGAATCCAAACAACGAATCTCACTTTCAAGATCGCCCACATCATGGATATCAGATGAAGTAGGTAGATCAATCTTCTCAATTCCAGGAAAAACAATGTTTGAAGCAACTAGTAAATCAGTAGCCAACAGAGCATTTTCAGCTTCATGAGCCATTCCAGCATGTGCAACAGCATTATTAAGGCCAGCTACAACATCAACTTCTTCCTCCACTTCTGTTTTCAGTATCTTCAACAAAATAGACATGTTCCACCAAAAACAAACAGGGATGCACAAATGATAAAGGCAAAATTAAAGAGGAGAAAGAAATCTTTGTCAACATGACTAACCCACAGCAAATTTTAATCAAGCATTTGTTTATAGGACCATCTTTGGTATGGTCAAGAACAAATTAAAGCCACAGAAAACAAATTAAAGGCCCAGAAATCCATCAAAAGTAAATAGACATCCACTACAAACCTAGTTGCAATTTTACAAAATCGTATTTGTGACATGATTTGTATGCATTAGTCGTTGGGGTTGGTAATGTGTATAACATCTGCTGAAAGGAAAAAATCATACCAGTATTTTATTGGGAACTGATTGCTCGGAGTTTAGCAGTGAGGCTAATGGCAAGAAAATACACAAAAGTGAAACAACCTCAGCTAAAATAATGGTGGATAATTGGCTTGAGTGTCACTTCCAACTATGCACATGTTCTCCAGCAATTCATCACCACCATCAGAGGAGGGATGAGTGCAACGAAGGTTATGCATATCAGCCATCACTACCTCAGCCAGCAAGTCAGCATAAATGCTTGAAATAAGAATCCCCAAAGATCCCACAGCTTTTTCTCCTTAAGCAACCAAGTCACCAAACATGGCAACAAGTTGCTGGACTGGTCCAGTATCAACATCTCCCTTACTTGTGGTGGGTTGAGTTGAAGAAATGTCACACTGAGACATAGTAGAATTCCTATTTATCTCTTTTGTTGACTCTTCTGAGACACTAAGCATTGACCTGACACATTTGCCGAACACATCATCATTTTCAGCCCAATCACTACTGTCCTCTATTCCAGATCTTTTCCTCCCCACATTGCTACCAACAGCATTACATGCTTTAACCAAGGGTTTTTCTTCTTGTAATTTCTTAAACCTATTACTAAAAAGTCCAATACATATGCATATATGCCCATGTGCTAATAAACAATTGCACAAGCCAGCACATCCCTATGCCAATAAATCATAGAATACATGAAACAACATTGTAGATACCTTACTAACTGAAGAATCATCTTTTTCCTCTGCCATGCTTCTATTAATTTTATGAACCTGGTTGAGAGCTAGCTCCGTCAGTCCTCCAGCTTTAATCTCTCTCAAGGCACCAAGTAAACAATCCCTCCACCGTATAAACCCAGAACAACATACATATCAAAAGTGAGCATGGTACTCAACTTTTGTGTTCAGTGGATGCTAAGTAATATAAGTGCAATTATCTAAGAAAATAAAGATAATGCTAAGTAAGCAAGTACAGAATAAGTAATGGTACCATACTAGAAAACATGCTAAGTGCTTAAAACCAGTATACTAAACTCAACAAACATCTTTCAAATCATTGATTAAAAAAAGGCACAAGCCAAATAGTTTAACGGACCCATTCGCTATTTCCAACATTAAATCCACTACTCATTCAACTCTCACGATCCCTAAAGTACTTAGTAACTTATGTTTAAGGTACATGGAAAACAAGTATCATATAAATCCTCATTGATCAAGTAAAATGTTCAAGAAACACCAAAGAGAAAGGGAGATGCAACCTTAGGAATGGATAAGAGTCTAAAAGAGCATGTTTAGTATAAAATAAATACCGGTACAGTACTTGGTTGTGTACATTTCAAGAACGAGATTAAGGCATTTTTCAAAGCATGGTGTGCTCCATAGACATGAACCCCTTTGATAACAAAGCTTGGGGGATCCAAACTAAGCAAAACTGGTAGAATTCATCTGTAATAAACAGGCCGTATCTTTGCAATTGCTGAAAGATTGATATCAAAGACAAAACAAAATGAAAACAATGGAAACACTAGAAAGTAAAAACAGCAATGTAATCAAAAGTGAAAACCACAATTTGAAATGAGGTCAATGTCTTAAATTAAGTACAGTAAGAAAAACTGGATTTTTAAAGATTCATGTTCAAGGGTAATAGCACACCAGTAATACTTTTTCCACACAGAACTTCTGATGGAAAATTTTAAATTCTCTTCATTATACAAGTATTTTGAAAATTATAACAATTGTACATAGATATCATTTCCTGGTTATTCACGTCAAAATTAAAGACAGAGATTTCATATATCCTGATTAACTGAATGCCAGGAAATACGTTACAGTTGAAAATGAAATGAGCAAACATCTCACCTGTTAATAAGCACAACAATCACCGAGCTGGTGAGAGATTTTACTGTTGGAAATCTAAGATGATCAAGCAACAAAACCAAGCACTGGCTAGCTTCAATCGACAAATCCCCAACATTGAGTAAAGGATGGCCCCCATGAAGCCAAGTTATGTTAAATTCTATGGGGGTTCCTACAAAGTAAATTGAATAGGACATATAAAAGATACTAACTGCTAGTTCAATAACATATTAAAATAATAACATGACAGTCTTTCCTCAAGCCTTCTAACCTTCATGAGAAAATCTAAGTAAATTACCTTCACCAGGAGGGGGCCCAGGAGAGCCATTAGGAATTTAGGATTAGGAGAATAAAGAAGAATAACTGCTTCAACAAACTTCAGTGACACCGATCTTATCCCACCACTTCCTGGCTGATTATATTTTACACTATACCTGGAAAGCTATAGAGTATATCTTCTCCTTTAACTTTAACATCCATGACCACGATGATTTACGACTACTGTCCAATTTGCTGGAGAATATACCCTGAAATAAACATAAAGAGAATGCAAACTTGTAAAGGGAACAACAGAAAGTTAGTAAGCTGCAAATAGCCTACTGCCAATGAGAGGTCAATATAGAGTTTAAATAATGTGGAAACTCCATAAACTAACATTAATTAACACAATATAACAGCAATGGACAAAACAATAACAGTTTTTCTTATAAATAATTTTATCACTAAATAGCTATTATTCACAGATTAAGATTATACAAAAGTAAATTAAAAATATAAATCAAACTCAGACAGTTGAAATTATGAATTAGAAAGTAAAAAATTACCTGAATTGAAATTTTTTCGAGAGTAGGACGAAACAAATCAATGCTGCAAGCAATAGATTGTCGAGCAGCAGCAGTTGTAGCATCTTCCAAAACAGTTAACCAGAAACGGTGCAATTTCTAGTACGAATTCGAGATGCTTCACTCTAATTTCACCAATAATCCCACATTTAATTTAAAAAGAAAAAAAATATAATTTAAATTTATAATAAGCAATAAAACAGCTAAAATAACGCGGATTGATGTAGGGATTTTATTTTGAGGTGCGAACTCAGTAGCAAGATTGCGAACCGGACCAGACGGGTCAGAGTTGTTGATGGTATCTTTTGTGTCTTAGCTGGAGGGTGCTGGTGTGAGGTTATTGGAGGTTGTATGGTTTGAACCTGCATCTAGAAAACACAATCAGAAACACCGGAATTGTTCCTCCAAAATGCACTTCAACACTCAAGTCAGTAAAATGTCTAAGAAAAGGTACGAAAAGAAGAAAAATATGTGAGGGAAGCTACATTGAAGGAAAATTACTTAAATGTGAAATATGTGCATTGTTACTTTATATATGAGATAATGGACAATGATTTGATTGAAATAATTAATGAAAAATATATTAAAAGTCTGAAAAAAGTTCACGATTGCACAAATTGCATTTTTCAAGCAAATTAAAGTTTAAATGTTGAATTCTGATATAATACCTTGATGGGACATAACTGGGGACGCTGGGCGAATCCTTCGCAAGAATCGAGCCATTTCTTTGGGTATTAAGGACGTGACAACTTGAACGTACAATATCTGGACCATCCAGAGGATTGACCGTATTGATCAAGGATTAATGGAGTAAATAGGCGTAACAAGAATAAAGGTCAAAGAGACGAGGAAGGAACTCGGGCAGAGCAGCAACGTCTTCCTCCAACAAATCTTGCTTCAATTGACAACAAAGGGTGAGCTTCGAAGCTAAGTCAATAGCTAGGTTCACTGAGTTGAATAAACTCGCGAGCTTTTCTCTCGAAACTGGATTCACGATGCGAGCTTTTAGTTTTATTTCATGAAGGCGATTTCTTTTTTTTTTTCTTTTTTTGTTTTTTTTTTTTGGTTGCCGAATTGAGAGGAGAGTCGGTTCTTTACTAAATTTTATCGCTTTTTCTAGTTGATCACCTTTTAACGGTAAATATTTTACACCTTAACAAAAAAAATTTGTGGATCAATTTCAGAATAAAACAAACCCCAAGGGGCGAATTAAAAAAAAAGTCTCACGGCAGCCCAAATAATAAACGATTGAGAAAAACGTGGAGGGAACAAAGACAATTATTTTCAGGATAAGAAAAATATGGCAATTCAACTGAACCACTTCCAAGCATCAACGCTGAAGCACGAGAAGGAACCGAAGCCACCTTTCTTCACTTACTCAAAAACTAGAATCTTTAGGGTCAGTACTGCAGCGTCAAGTAATGCCCAGCAGCTAATACAGTCGGGTGAGGTCAAGCCTATACTGCCTAAGGACGCAACCATGGCCATGAATTCCGAGGGGTTCAAGTTACTCGACATTAGACCTGAATGGGAGAGAGAAAAAGCATACGTTAAAGGGTCACTTCATGTGCCACTCTTTGTCAAGGACATGGACAATAGTCCCATTACTCTTTTGAAGAAATGGGTGCATTTTGGCTACATTGGCCTGTGGACTGGCCAAAACTTTACTATGATTAATCCTAATTTCATCCAGGAGGTCGAAGCTGTTGTTCCTGACAAGCATGCTAAGTTGCTTGTAGCTTGTGGAGAAGGACTAAGGTAAAGATTTCATGCCAGCCATTGCCGTTAATTAGTTGGTTATGGTGTGACTGATCTTATATATGCTTCCTATCATGACTACCTTTTTATTTATTTCGCTTTTGGGTGATAATATTGATGTGTCCTTAGGTCCATGATGGCAACTTTGAAGTTATATGAGAGTGGATACAAGAACTTGGGGTGGTTGGCTGGAGGATTTAATCGTTCTGTAGATGCTGATTTCCCAGAAGTGGAAGGGCCTCAAAAGTTGCAGTACGCTACAATTGGGGGTGTCTCATACTACTTTTTCCAATTGCTCCTCCTCACGCAAGCCGTGGGCAAGGAGTAATTAAGGAGCTAGAGTCATTTCTGGGCAGGTTATTACTAATTGTAAACCAGTTTCAATTTTGGCTAATCAGCAAACTAGCTGATACTGCACAAGTTTCTGTTGGTTACAATGCAATATGTTAGCTTCTGAGTTCTGAGTTCTTTTTATTGAATCCATTTTCCTTTTATTGCCAACCTATCTCAATTAGGCAAAATATACAGTGCACGACTACCAATTTTGAGTATGTAATTATCAATTTTGGAATAATCTCGTTTCTGTAGGAAATACCGTTTACTCATTTTGCCCTTCATGGATGTAAGCTGTCGTAAACTAGAAAAAAAAATGTAAAATTCCTTCCAATTTATTGTGAAGAAAAAGTGATTTCACTCAAGTCTATAATGTCTTATGCACTAGTCTTGTAGTAGTTATCAGGGCTTCCTACGGGAAAATCCAAAGGGCTACCAGCAACAAAGAGAACTATTCAATATTTCAGTCATTATCTAATGTTTCCCAAGAACTAGTCCATATTTCAGTCATCATCTAATGTTCTCGGGCTAGATGGCCAAGAACTGGGACATCTAATCAGCAGATAGAATGGCATACATGCAAATTGCCAAATGAAGCTGAAGATGAAACAAAAAACTTTTGATAACAAGCAAAGCCTCTTAAATCGTAGACCAAAACCACCCGAAAATGCAGGTAAAGTTTCTGTAGAGCCTAATCAATGAAAAATAACATTAGTATAGTTGCAGAATGCAGAGACAAGCTGTTTAAATCCTACCAATCTTAGAAATCAAATTTTAGATAAAGAAACAGCAGAGTTGTGAGAAATATCCATCATTTAGTGAACATCTATTACTTACAATTAAAACTGTTCCCTTATTATATTAAGGACAAATCATTTTCGTCTTAAAGAGGTAATTTTGGAATTGGATTTCTGATGCTAATTCCCATTTTTTATTACTTCATTCTTTTTTTTTTTTTACGTACTAGAAAACAAAACTCACATTGCGTTGCGGGAACTATTAAGAAATTTTAAATATGTATCTAATCTCTCATAATTTAATGATCAAAACATAATTATCAAATAGAAGAGTTTATACAATAAAATATTAAGCTATTAAACATAAAGAGCTAAATTCAAAATTTAAAATATAGTTTAAGGAGACATTAATAATTTTGATAAATAACTGAAAACAAAATATATAAATTCCAACTCAAAACTTCATATAATATATTGTCAAGCAAAGTAAGCCCAAATTATTTGGATTCTTCACAACCTAAAGATCATCAAGGTGATGAAATAAATGTGATAAAATCATTACAAATCGTTTAACTCCATCCACCATATTATATATATTTACATACAATGGTTATTGGCATTCCTTAATAAAGTTACCAAAAGCTTATGAAATAGAACCCAAGAATATTGATTATAGATTTTCAAAAACAATGACATAATTCACATATATATATATATATATATATATAAAGTTCCTTAATTTATATGTGTTTCAAAAAAATACGACTTTACTCATTTATCTTATATTGGCGAGTTGATGAGTGGTTGCTTGCCCATTCTTCTCATATTCTTTTCACCCAACCGTTACCACTCATTCTGTAACATTGAAATCAAAGTAAATACGAAACCAAGTTTGAATTAATCTTATAACATCATGTAAATAAGGCGTGGCCATAGCCACAACAAATGAAGAGATAATGAGATAAATGTGAAGCTAAATAAAAGTAGATGTTGCCATATAGAATTCCACCTACAAAAACTAAAAGCAAAAAATATATATACATAGCAAAAACTTGTAACTACAAAAAGGATTACACATATGCTAATGATTCCATTTAAAACAATTTTAACGACACATATTTCTTAGATTGAACTATTCCTCAAACTCATACAATCAACCCATAAATCATACACTATCAAAAATTTGTTTGTCACCGACAGAATACTGATAAAATTTTTAAAAAAAAAAACCACTTTTTCCGACGAAAATGGAATTAAATCCGTCGCTAAAAGTTCGGTTCGAATTGCAATCAATTTTACTGATTGATTTTTCCATTGCTAAAAGTTATAACAGATTTTCTAACGAAAAAATCTGTTGGTAAAAAAATTAAAAAAAAAAAAGAAATTTTAACATTACTGACGAAAATTCTGTAGCTAAAATCGTCTATAAAAATAATTTTAAAAAAACTAATATTACCGACAAAATTTTCGTTGGCAAAACCGTTACTAAAATAAAAAATTTTTCAAATCGCCCCTGATTGGGCAACTCAATTTTTCCCCCAATTTCTTTCCTAAATCCCTAATTCCCATTCCCCTTCCCTCTTCCACTCTCCCCTTCCCTCTCTCCCCGCCACCTTGCCGTCCTCTCCCGCCATCCAAGTGAGCCGACTGACGTCAGTGTCGCCCCTCCCTCTTTGAATTCAACATCTTTGAAAAGCACTGATTTCATGAATCCATCTTTTAATCTTGACTAACGTTTTTTTTCCTCTGTAATTGATAGGTTGAACATCTTTTTCTTGACTCTTGAGGAAATTTAAAGGTTTCTGACTTTGGATTGACTGCATTGCCTCAGCAAGTAAGCATATTGACTGCTATTTAGGTTCTATACAGCAAAGAGTATTCACTTAAAATTTTTCTTTCTCTCTCATAATATGTTCATACCCATGAACAACGGGTTAGACTTCTCCATACAACATGTGGAACCCCAAATTATGTTGCACCAACGGTACATTCATTCAAGCAACTTAAGGATCATGCTACAAAATTGTCTTATTGTTTACCACGTTTTGCCATTGTGTTTGACTTCAAGATATAATTGATTTTTGCTTACAACTTTGGTCAAATTTGTTATTGTCTGTACCAGCCTCTTGCATTTTGAACTGCTTGAAATTTTAAAATGCTTGCATTAATTTTTTTTTCTCTAAAGTAGGATTCCGTATGTCAATGCCACTAAAGAATATAAAAAAGTTCCAAATCAAATTTTAACACAATTACCGATACTATTTTCATGCACTAGACAAGCAAAACCCAATTTGCTAAGTCCGAAATGTTGCCTTAGATTTGATACAAAAGTCTTCTTACATGGGAGTCTACAGTTATTTTAACTACTGATCTTTCACTTTGCTGCATTTGCTCTGTTTCTCCAACAAATAATGATCCATTCATTGGATTTAAAGTACCTTTTATCAATTATTACAAGTATTGAGTAAATAAATACATATTAATCAATGTTACGATTGCAAAGAAACTAATAAGATGCCTAAAATACCGTATCATTAGTTAGTGATACTTGCTAGGAATTATTTCTCTTTGGTTAAGGGAGGGAAGGGGCTAAGATGCCAAGGGTACTAGGGATGTTACAGCTGAATTAAAATTGAATAATGGCAAATCATGGCTGTAGTTTTTTAATATCTTCATCATAAATTTTTTAAAATGTTTAGCATTGATAGTTTTTGGCCTTTTCGTTTTTCATCGTGGTAGTTTACTACTTTCTATATTTCTTAATAACTTAAAAGCTAGTCTTGATTGTAAATTGTAAGCATGTGGTGCTTAAATATGCATCAGTACTTTTAAAGACGTGCATGTTTAAGGTTTTGTTATGTAGTTGAATTTCTCATGGTAAATCATTAGCCATCAGGTTGTTCAGCAGCCTGGCTTATGATGCTGCAACTGCTGATGTGTGGTCATATGGAGTCATTCTCTTTGTTATACTGGCTGGGTATCTCTCATTTGATCAGATAGACCTTCCAACGTTGTATAAAAAGGTTAGACACCATTTTTTTTGCATGTTTGACAATTAATGCATTATTAATTTGCAACATGCTTATTCTTATGAGTGAACAATTCTGCCAACATTTGTGGGCACTGGCTACTATTAAGCTATTTGTGTACGGTTATGTTGCAATGCTCTTGTATCTTTTCCCTCCATTCTTTCGAGTTGTAATGAATGCTTGCCATCTTATTCAATGCCTAAGGGTGTTACCTTCGAGTCTATATATTCTTTTAGTTGACTCACCAACAACTACATGGATATTATAGTCCTTTCATTGATTCTTTTGGTAATATGCATCCAAGATTGCTTTACTATATTTGTGGTGTATATTGCCTCTATTACACCCTCTAGTTATAGAAAGGAAGGTTAGCGTCTGCCTCACTTATTCTGAAGAGTCTGCAATTTGTGAAAAGTTGGACCCAATCAAACGGTGCTCGGCTTTGCTGTTGAGTTTTACTAATATGATCCTGATTAAACTTGTGTCACTTCTATTAAACATGGATATTGTTCTGATGAAGTGGTGATGGTTTATCATATTTGTGTTTCAGTGTTTGGTGCACTCTCTATATGATTATAACAAACTCTGATATAACTCAATTTAGCCTTTATATGCTTCATCTTAGAATAAATAAAGTATAACTCTTACAATAGAACAGCAATCCAATATAACTCTTTTTGGCATTTTTTTTATAGGTCTACCTTTGTCTTAAAGTTTTTTTAAGACATAGGAAAATGGTTAGAAGCTTTGGTGGAAAAGAGCAGTGTATGGTTCTCTCTCATGCATTCTTACGTTAGTTGTATGAAGCCATTTTTATTTTTAATTTTTGGTTGGTTGCTTGGAAGTTTTTAAGTCAAATTGAAACTCCGGCTATCCTAAATATTAGCAATTTTATATGTTGAAATGATGGACAAATTTGTGCATGTATTGGTGTCAAACTTATTTACCTGAGCTTAATTGGTCTTGGTTTCATCAACCTATATGGAGCATTCTTGGGGGAAAAGGGGAATAATTAATGTTGTTATGTGTTTTTACTTGAAATTTTAAAAGTTTCTGAAGTTTTCTCGCAGGTTTCCTTTCCTCATTGACCTAAGTTCTGGAATATCAATGTATGGAAATGGTATATGGTGAAGCTTCTTCTGACCTGGATGTTTGCAACATTAACTGCTATTAATTTCTTCTGCAATGATTTCCTGTTCTATTCAAATCTGGTTAGTAAATAATTACTTGTTTGATAATGAATTGAGCATGATAATTATAAGTTATGGATGAGAATGACTTTAAATATTTATGTATATGTAATATCATAGTATATAGTACTATATAATAAATATTTTGGTCTCTGCCACATTTGTATTCAAGCTATTAGAAACTTGCCAAATGTGGACCCACCATCTATCAAGGTTTTACCGGACAATTTTGTTTGCTCACCTCTTATCTTATGAATTTGATAACCTAGTTAGTCAACATAACTTTGTGTTTGTGCTATTCTTGTTTTATCTGGCCCAAGCTATTCTATAGTCATATAGATTATTAGTGCAATACTGCAATACATGTTTAATACTAACAATGAAACTCTTGATATCAATGAAGTTTTGGAGAACATTTAGCCTTTCTATAAGTCATCATCCCTATTTTAAAATGTGCCATCTGTTGGAGTAAGAAAACATATACTATCTTTTATGGAGTCTTTTCATAACTTAATGTCTTCTATGATAACTAATGTTGGATGATATCCACTTTGTTAGCTGTTGGAACCATTCTTCTTTATTTTGTTGTGTTAATAATATTTTTGATTGCTTATTAAATTCTCATGCATCTACAGTCTTTAAAGAAAGAAGCAGACCAATTGAAAGCTAATCTCCTAAAGACTGAGGCTGTCACTAAGCTTGCTAAGAAAAAATATCATGAAGAAACTGAAATGTTAGACAAATTGCTTGCGTGTATTACTAAATGTTTGTACAAAATTTGTAACATATATGTATTTTTTGTATTTTTATTTAATAGAATTCATAAATAATTTTGTAAAATATTTTAAATTCTTTTATAAATAAAATGGAATATTTTGTTTATTTAAATTTTTATTTATGTATATTAAGTATTCATGTAATTACTTTAAAAATAAATTAAAAACTAAAATAAAATGATAAATAAAATATATTAAATATGAATTAAAAAATAAGTATTACCGATGAATTATCGAAAAAAAAATCCATCAATAATTATTGACAAATTTTGTTCATTACCGATTTTGCTAACATCGATGGAAAATTTTCGTCAACAAATTCGTGGATAATGCTTTATTGACGAAAAATTAACTTTTACCAATGAAATTTTACTATCGGTAAAAGATATTTTTCTAGTAGTAATATCTAAAAGCCAAGTTACCAACCATTAATTATAAGATTCATGAACACCTCTTATAAGTGAGAGAAAACATTCATAGTAATAATAAAAAAAGTCAAGTGTTAAAAATTTAAGATTTCTACTCAAGTTCAGCTTTATAAAAAAATAGAAAGATCAAATTCAGCTATGATGCAAATTTCATACAGATGATCAAATGATAAAATCTAAAAGAAAAAGGCAATAACCAAATTTTCACAATGGTCAAATTCCCATAAAAAAAAAGTTGATTTAATATTTTATCAAAACATCTAATATTTTTGAATTTTTTGCAAAAATACTCATGTATTTAGAGGAATGGAACAAAATGTACGATAGGGATTAACCTGATTCTTAACCTTTCAACAACTTCATATTGTTTATCATACTCATCAAATACCTATGACAAAAAAAAAAATCCAACTGTCAAGCATACTTCAACTTTCTTGAATAGGTGTTTATTCTAAAATAAATGGCATTTTTTTAAATGGATAAAGCCAAATTAACATTATTTTCATTTCAAATAAAATTTACTGCTGTCTCTTTTAATTTAGAAAGACTTTTTTCTATCTCTTGGACTATAAGTACAACTAAATTAGATTATTTTAAAAGCTGAAATTCTATCTTAATTTCTTTGTTGGTAAACAACAGCTTTCAACTTGAATATATGACATAAGTATAGATTGTATAAGCAATCAACATGTTTTAGTTTTTAGATAATTTAAAGGTTGCACAAATCTAACACATATAATATATATCCTCAACCGATACAAAGATATTTAAAGCAACCTTAAACAACAATCACTATTAAAGAGTTTTGGACATAAATTATCAAAATATTTTATTTATTTCCTAACCCAAATCTTGATCTTTATTCATATCATTAATATGATCGCATACAGATAGAGATGATTTCAGGTGTGATGCAACACAATTGAGATGATTTCTTGATTGTTTTTTCTTCGAAATTATTTATGAATTGATCGTCTTTATATATGCCAAGATCACTGCTGGTAGTATTTAAATCATAGCGGAAACACTTTGACAATTTGAGGTAACATGCCCCATATGAAAGCCTTAAAGCTTTGGTGATTATATTATAATAGCTAATTAAACCTTTAAATCTTTCTTGTTTCTGCTATTTCTTTTTGCATCTTTTTTTTCTATTCTACATCATTCAATATTTAAACTAACACATTTTTTATTTTGCTCCGGCATCCGCAGGCTTAAAACCTATTTTAGACATAAAAGTACACCCCACCGTATGAAATGACTAGACTTGACACGGATAATCTGGAAAAAGAGACCAAATGATTCCTGCAAAGACGATCAGACATCTCAACAATTAGTTCAATGGTTCAAAAGAGCGTCGTAGTCTTAAACATTAGTTAAAATATTTCGATTATATATCTGATTTATAAAATGTTTATATTTGATATTATCTTAACAAATTAATCGATTTGCACGCTATTGATAAATAATATCAAATAATATTATCACAACTCTTACCACTCGAAGAATCCGAAACTGAAACCGTCAATTACTACAACCTTGTCACTACTGCCTGCTAATGAATTATCAATGCTGATGCTTTCAAGAAATGTATAAAGCATTGGAAAGCAAGAAGAAAGCTAACAACAAAATCCAATATACTCAGTAATTTGAATGAATTAATAAATGACTTCATATTTACTCTCGAAGCACGTTATTATCGTATCATTTATTTCAAAATCCAGTAATATCAAATTGCTTTGCGCTATGAATCGCTCCTCCCGAACTACTTGAAAATTGAAACAAAAGAATTGACAGCTTACGTCAAATACATCAACAACTTACTATAATCAAAACGATGCAGTCGCCAAACTATGTCGAAAATTGGAAATTATAGTAGAAAACAAAGCCATGAATGCTAAAACAATACCAAAAGAACAGGAAAGCCAAGATCCTTTCAACAACTCATCAATTTAGCGGCCAGCTTTTCTTCTTACCTACTTTTAGGGCATGGGGTTCACAAAATTTTGAATTTAAGGAGAAAATATGATTTTTGAAAAAATATAATACTCGAGATTTTTTTTTATTTTTAGAGTGCTTTATATTCAAATTCACTTATTTAGTTCAAGAGAATTCACATATATTAATTTTTGAATAATTATCATAATCTTTTTAATATATATAATGACAATTTTTTATTAGATTTTATTAATAATAAATACTCAAATGATAAATGATACCTTTAACAATAAAAAAAATAAATATTTTATTTGATTGTTGTTTTTATTTATAAAATATCATCAATAAAAAAATATTAAAAATTATTTAATACATTTCTAATTGAAAAATACCCTAAATAATCTTTTTTATTTTTTTAAAAAAGAATTATTTAAAATATTTTTTATTCAAAAGCTCCTTAAATAAACTCATTTAAAAAATATGAGAAAATTTTTTAAGGCATTTTTATCCAAAAATATTTTAAATAATCTCTATTTTTTTTTAAATGGATTATTTAAGATATTTTTTAAATGCTTTAAATAATACTTTTTAATTTTTTGAAAGATATTATTTAAAGTGTTTTTGATCAAAAATGTCAAAAATACATTAAATAATCTTCAATTTTTTTTTAATTATTTAAGACGTTTTTTACCAAAAAAAGTCAAAACACATTCAATAATCACTAATATTTTTGTAAAATGAATTATTTAAGGCATTTTTTTGTCAAAAATGCCTTAAATAATACCCTTCAATTTTTTAAAAGATATTAGGTATTTTTTACCAAAAATGTCTTAAATGATTTCTAATTTTTTTAAGGGGATTATCTAAAGTATTTTTGATAAAAAAAATAAACCTTAAATAATAACCTTCACTTTTTTTTTACTATATTATTTAAGATTTTTTTTACTAAAATTATCTTAAATAATCATTTTCATTACTTATAAGATTTAAAAGATAACATATAAAAAACTAGAATAATTCAATCGATTAAAGTATATAGTTATGAATCATAAGGTTGTAAGTTCGATCTCTCTTTTTAACACTTTAATTTTTTTAAGAAGATTATTTAAAGTATTTTTTATCAAAATGCCTTAAATAATACCTTTTCATTTTTTGGACTGTATTATTTAAAACGTTTTTTACTAAAAGCACCTTAGATAATCTCTTTCATTACTTATAAGATTTAAGAGATAAAATATAAAAAAAATTAGAATAACCCAATTAGTTAGAACATATGACTATTAACTATAACGTCGTAGATTTGACCCATTTTTTTAAGGTTTATTTTTAAAGATTACTTTTTTTTTTGGATTATTTAAAGCTTTTTTTCCCAAGAAAACACCATAAATCATGCTAATTAATTTTTTTAGGAGATTGTTTAAGGCGTTTTTACGCCAAACGCCAATTTTTTTTATTATTTAAGGCTTTTATGATCAAAAAATATATTAAATAATGCTGATCAATTTTTTAAGAGATTATTTAAGATGTTTTTCATGCCAAACACCATTAATTGCAATATAAAAAGTTTTCTTTTAGCAATAGAAATTTACAACTGATTTACAATCACTTTCAAATATATTTTTTAAAATAGTAATGACTATTTTATAATTTTTTATTTAGGTCAAATTTGAAAATAACGTAATTTTTTTCCCAAAATCCTAAAATAACATAAGAAGAGATGAGTTTTTTATTTCTAAGGCTTTAAGTACTATTAGTAATATGTCACTTTCCCTCATATTAACTTGAACTAAACGTTGAAATCAAATATACAATAATAAAATTTTAGAAGAAGATGCATAAATTCCTCTCATCCAAATGCCCTTTTAATATTTACATAAAGCATCATCGTTTATATCACCAAAAGAAGAACAAAGCAGTCAAACCCCTTTCACAGCCAATATCCAAATCTATGTCCCAATTCAGAAATTTGACATGCAAAAAACCCATAAAACTAGAGCATAAAATTCACTGCTAGACAAAATTATTCAAGCAAAACATCATATATAATCAAAGTTTCATGCTGTAATGCTAAAGAAACAGTGAAATTTCTCACCTCCACTTAGCCCGAAAAACTTGAAACATACTAATCAGACCGAGCCGCGAACCTTTCAACCTTCTTATCATTCAAATTAAGACCAACCATAGCCTCACCAAGCCCACAGCTAACATCAGCAAGCACGTCCGGATCACTATAATGAGTGACGGCCTGAACAATCGCCCGCGCACGTCTAGCCGGGTCACCACTCTTAAAAACCCCAGACCCCACAAACACTCCATCACAGCCCAACTGCATCATCAACGCCGCATCCGCCGGCGTCGCCACTCCTCCCGCGGCAAAGTGCACCACTGGCAACCTCCCCAGCTGCTTCGTCTGCATAACCAAATCGTAGGGAGACTGAATTTTCTTAGCGAAGCTGAAAACCTCATCATCATCCATGTTCCTAAGAACCCTAATATCTCCCATCACGGACCTCACGTGCCTAACGGCTTCAATAATGTTCCCGGTCCCAGCTTCACCTTTGGTTCGAATCATAGCAGCTCCTTCTCGGATCCTCCGAAGCGCTTCCCCCAAATTCCGACACCCGCAAACGAAAGGAATCCGAAAATTATGTTTGTTAATATGGTTTTCTTCGTCGGCAGGGGTTAGAACTTCGCTCTCGTCAACATAATCGATGCCAATGGCTTCAAGGATTTGGGCCTCAACGAAATGACCAATACGGGCCTTAGCCATGACGGGGATAGTAACGGCTTGCTTAATTTCTTTTATGAGTTGTGGGTCACTCATTCGAGCCACGCCACCTTGGGCTCGGATATCAGCGGGGACTCGTTCGAGAGCCATGACGGCGCAGGCTCCGGCTTCTTCAGCGATGCGAGCTTGTTCAGGGGTGACCACGTCCATTATGACCCCACCTCGGAGCATTTGCGCTAGCCCGACTTTCACTGAGAAAGGGGATTTGTGGGTTTCAGTTATTGCCCCGTTCCCATAAACTGCAACCACCCCAGTTCCTGCCATAGAAACAAAAAAAAAAGCTACAGAGGAATAAAGGGAGAGACTTGTTTGCTTTTTAGAGTTGAAAAATGCAAATGAGAGAGAAATTATGAAGATATTGAAGGGGGCGGTGGGAGAGAAGAGGTGTAGCAGAGAAGGTGGCGAGAGTTAGGTTTAAGTAGAGCAAGTGCTTTGAATGGTTCCTGCTCGGAGGTGAGCAGTGTTGAGGTGTGGCATATTCCACTTGCACTCCTCGTCATTTAACTGTTGTCGCTTATCGGACGGTGATGAAAGAGGTTTCAAGGAATTTAAAAGGAGATTTAGGTATTTTATATAATAGGATTGAAGGAACGAAATTTTGGCACGCTCAACCTCCGTAAAGGTTACTTATGCACACGTGGAAAGCAAGAATTCCATTCATTTGTTGAACAGAGGAGACTAGTCTTTTCCCCACCTTCGATTGTTCTTTCCTATCTTTCTTTCTCTTCTCCAAAATGGAATTTTTTAATCGTGTGGAGAATGTGATTGGATTTGTGGAGTATTTTATATAAATTACTCAACTTTAGTTCCATGAATGATGACTATGTTAGACTAATTTTTTTGTTTTTTATTTTATTAACACTAAATTTATTACTTTATTTGAGACCATGGATTAAGGATAGTTTGGATTTCATTGCATCAAATCATTTTTTTGGGTTAATTGTATCCTAAAATGTATTTGAATTACTATCTTAGATGCAGTTAATTATAATTATCTTTTATTGAAATTGAAAAATAAGAATCAAATTAATTAAATCTTTGGATATTTGATTACCATATTTAACTTTATCATATATTATTATATTTATATCCAAATATGTATCAACAATATTCTTTTTATTTTATTTGTATAATATTTAATTTATTTTTTTTTAATTTTATTAAAATCAATCTTACTGTACACCATCCAAATGAATGCTTAAAAAACCGATGGCCCAAAAATCATAACATTTTTTTTTGTTTATTTGTTCTTTTTTTTTTTTTTTTCTAAACATAGGTAGAGACGATAGAACGACATTAAGAGGCTGGGAGGGAGGCAGTAAAGGCTGCCGCTCATTTCCAATCCATGGCAAATGTTATTTTCATCCCACGTTTCAGAAAAAGGCGAGGAAAGCGTATTCAACTTGACTTCTTCAAGCGTCAAACACTTGTTCTTTTGACCACCTTCCAGCTGCACAATCCCCTTTCTCCCTGCAAGACCAAACAAATCTTTGTTCTCTCCTCTGCCATTTCTTCATTTACCTTGCTTGATTGTTTGGTGAAATGAAATAGAGAGAAAAAGACAGATATTTTATGGAATAAAAAAAGAATTTTCACTATTAATTTTACCGTATTTTTAAAAAGTATATTAATTCTATTACTCTTAATTTTATTATTAATTTTTACTAATCTTTACTTATAATTTTATTAATTGTATGATTTTTTTTAATTATTTTAATTGGATAATTTATAACAAAAGAAATTAATAAATAATTATTTTAATAAATATCAATAAAGGTATAAATAATACAATAACTTGTATTTGTTAAATTTCGATTCATTCAAATTTGATATGTAAGCTTTTTTATTTGAAATCAATCAAGGTTTTTTTTTCCAAAAGTTAAGATCACGTCGAAAGTGGATTTATAATATTTCATTTTATCTTAATTATATATATTAAATTATATTTTTATTATTTATTTAATTTATTCATATATATATGTTTCTATTAATAAAAGATTATTTAATATTTTAATTAAATAAAAATATTATATTTATACATAATTAATATGTAATTCATTCGTTATATAAATTTGATTCATTCTTATTTTTATTTAATTTTTATTAAGGTTTGACATGCTACTTTTTTTTTCTTTTTTTGGTTTTTTTATTTTTAATTTAAATAAATTTTATGAAAAAATTATGTAGCCATCCACATGGCATCCCGGTTTATTTTTGTATTTAAATAATTTTTGAAACAAAATGAGCCATAGATAAGAATAACAAAACAATTTATCTCTTATAAGTCTGTGTTTAATTAAGATGTCTACATAATATCTCAGTAAATTTTTTTTTCTTTTTTTGTATTTTGTATTTTTTATTGAAGTAATTTTGTGAATAAAAAACATAATAAAAGTGTTGACTAAAAGTGTAATCAATCAAGTTTAAGTTGATACAATATTAAATTTGAGTTTGACTCAAGATTCGAGATTTGAAACTCGACTCAAACTCAATCAATTTTTATTTTTTAGTTCGAACTCAATTCAAAATAAAAATCGAACTACTCAAACTCACTTGATTAGACTCGATTAATATATAAAAATAAGTTTGATTCTTATATTCAATAAAATCTTAATTATTTATACTCAAATTCGAGTTTAAAATATTTTATTAATTAAAATAAAAATTATATATATTAAAATACAAAATCTTAATTAAGCTCGTAAAGTTACTCGAGTCAGGTATAAAAATGTTCAAACTCAATTCAATATTAATCAAACTGAATTTAAATTTTATTTAAATCAAACTCGAATAATTTATAAATACTAATATATTATTTATACTTTTAGTGTTTACGTCGCATCTCATTTGACCTCGATCATTGGATTTTTATTTTATTTTATTTTTGTTATATTTTTTAATTACATAAAATTTATAATAAAATATATTAATTAATAAAAATATTAAAATAATTAATATTTAATAAATTTTAATCTATCTTAATTTAATAAAATATTATTTTTTAAATTAAAATTGACCGGAGACAAGTCAAGTTCTTAAAAAAAATAAATTTGAATTGAAAATGTATTTAAAGTGTTTTGCTTTTACTCGTTTGATATATATATATATATATATATATATATATATATAATAATTTATTATTTATTTAATTATATATTTTATTGATAAAGTTATTTTTATCTTATTTAAGAAAATAATGTTTTATAAAAAAATTATTTAAAATATCCACATATCACTTTCGTTTGTTTTTATTTTATTTTTTATTTTTTAATTTGATAAATTTAAAATAAATATACAATAAATAAAAATGACAAAATAAAAAAAATTTATTCGCAACAATGCACAGACATATTTCTAATGAAATAATTATTATGATATTTGATTTATTATAATAAAGTATTGTAAGAATCAAAATTAATACGTTTGATTAGAAAATATTTTATGAATAAATTAAAAAATTAATTTACCTTTTTAATAAATTAAATTAAAATAGATTTTTATTAATTATAATTAATTAATAAAAAATTATTATTTAACAATTTTCTCTCTTATATTATTAATTAATTAATAAAAATTGCTTTACAAAAAGTAAATATAAATTATTAATTAATAAATAAAATTAATTAATTTTTTTTCTTTCTTTTTTTCATTTTCCTATTTCCCTCTTTTCTTTTCTCTCTCCCCATTTCTTCTCCGTTTCTCTTCCTCTCTCTAAAACTAGAGCATTTCTTTAAAAATCTCACAGCAACTGACAACCGCCATTTACCGACGCAAGCCGCCACCGTTCATTGCCGTTGACTGGCATTTATTTCATTCCAAAATTCATATTTTCGTTCCTCTCAGCCTCCTCCTTTCGTTTTCTAATTTAGTTTTTTCAAAAAATACTTAAAAAATCCTAGATCTAAATTCAAAAAGCCAAACTTTCACCACTTATTGCAAGCAATTCCGGTCGTCGATGATCTTTCTTCTACCATCAAACAACCCTATTTCCTCCTCTCTACATATTTCCTAGTCGTCTCTAGCCACCACTGCGCACCGTCATAGCCATCACCTTCCACAAGGTTTTTTCCTTTTTTTTTTTTTGGTTCTCTTTGTGTTGTTGTTTTGTTTGTGAGGACAGAAATTACTTCTAAGCAGCCAAGGTGCTGGCAACTGTTTAGATCATTTATTGTCTCCAATGAAAATTTCGACATGTGCAGAGAAACTTTTTTTAAACCTGACAATTTTAGACAAAAAATGATGCTACGTAAAAATGATATAAGAAAAAATTATATATGTGTTTTAAAAATATATATTTTATATTTTTTCGTGTCGATATCAATTTTAACATGACACAATTTATATAATATATGTATTAATTAATTTAAATAAATGAGATGATACGAATAATATATTTAATTTAATTTTATCATATGAATACACGTTTAATATGTTTTTATATTTATTTTAATTTAATATAAACATATAATGATTATTTTAATTTTTAATTTTTTAATTATGATATTTAATTAGCTATTTAATATCATTTAAAAATTATTTTAAACATTTAATTATGATACTCATTTAATAATTATTATAAAATTATTTCTATATTAATAATATAAATACAATATAAATATAAATATTAATCATATACGTTATTATTTTATTTTTTAATTTTTAATAATTTATTTTTTTAAATTTGATATTAAAAATTAATATAGTTATATAATATAAATTAAAATTTAAATATATATTAAATACATATTAAATAAGTATTAATTTTTTTAAAATTTTTTAATATGTAAGTATTTTTTTATACTATTAATATGTTAAATTTATTAAGTTGTAAATAATGAATAATTTATAATTATTTATTATTTTAATCATATTTTTGTATATATTCATATTAATCATATCTATTCATGTATATTTATATTAATCTTGTTATTTAATATATTTATATTACAATTTTTTATATTATATTTAAACAAATTAATTATATATATATTATCATGTTTATGTCACTTGTAACATATATATTAAACGTATTATATTTTTATTTAAAATTTAAATACATTTAATAATTCATCTCGTATTTATATTTTAATAATTTATATAATTACAAATATCAAACATGACAAAAACACAACATAAAAACATTAATCGTAAGTCTACTTCCTTCCTTGTAATTCCGGAATTACCATTCTTAAGATGGAGCTCGAAAGGCTTTAGACTCATCTTTTTCTTTAATTTACTATTATATACTCCATTACAATTCAGCTGATTTGTACCAAAAGACATCAGATTAATTTTAAAAGATACTCGAAAAACGTAAAGAAATATTAGTCGTTTTCATGTTTCTAACGAGACGGCTAGATGAAAGATTTCAATTTCCAAAGAAAATCTGCTTTTATGAAGGATACGAAACGAGGTCCACTGTCTCAATTTAAGCGAAACGCCAAAAGCTTTCAGTTGCTGCGCCTTAAATTGATAGCCTTTAACCAGAACAAATGAGTATCAATGTCGAGGCAGTCTGGGAAAATGAAAACAGAAGGGAAAAATGGAAAACATTTGAATCTTTGACTCCGTGTACTGGGAGATTATATATCAATCAGAGATTCTCACATGGTGGAAGGCCACTAAGGGGAAACAAAATGCATGGCTCATTCATTTATTCCACCTTAAAAAATCTATGCTGATAACCCAGTCAGTGTATTATTCACTTGACTAAGGGATCCATCAGCATAACAAGCAGCTACCCATCAAAGAAACGTACTGCAGCTCACTGATGCAGTTTGTGCAAGTGCCGCGTATTCCTTATACTGTAAAAATCTTCCTCACTTTTTTCATGTTCCGACGGCAAATAGGGCAAGTTCCAGCAGCCTCTGCTATTCTGCAGAAGATTAATTACAACACATGTCAATTAAGAAAATTTTGCATTGGCTTCAACAAGAAGATAGGTCTCATAAAGGAGGGAGCATATCATCTACAATCATTGTACTATAATTAATTAATTATAATTCAACATTGTGTGGGATCTGTTAAAATTTTATATGGAACCCACATTTATAGGCGCCAATTTCAAGTTCCGGGCGACCCACAAACCAGACTAACTAGTTAGCTAAATTTCCGAATCATTAAGGGTGATTATCAGCACATAATTTTAAATTCGGTTCAGGGTTAACAATGAGGTAGACTATTTCCAAAGCAACCTTTCATGTAAAAGGATGAGGCTGCTAAGTAGTTACCTAGTTCCACATGCAAAGCAAGCTACACAGTGTCCACATGGAAGGAAGAAACAGTCCCTTGGAGCATCAAAGCAAATTGCACAAAGTCGCCGAGTATTGTTACTGTTTTCACCATCTCCTATTGAATTGCCTTCAAGAGAACCTGCCAGGAACTTTTCAAGATCTGCCTCATCACTTGAGGCAGAATCATACGATGAACCCCAACTTGAGATATCATCATCTTTGCGTGAAAGTAGAGGGGCTCTTGCAGAAGCAATCTCCCCAAAACGAACACTTGTTTCAACTTCACGAGTAAATTGAAACTTGTTTAATAAGTTGAAGGCAACCAACATGATTGCAGTCAGTCCACCTTTCAGAAGAAAAATAGAATTTAAAATTTAAACATGATACACGTAACATCTGTAAAGGTTGTAATGAGAGTAATCAACAGAAAGCTCTTTACCAATGCCAACAATATATGTAATCCATCTTGGACCATATGACACTCTGACAGTCCAGTCATCAGCAGATGTACTCTGAAGCAGCCAAAGAAAGGGACAAAACAGAATGTAAAGACTTTGTAAATGATGATTTAGAAAATATCCACTACCAAAGGAAGCTTTAGAACATATATTTATCATTCATCTGCCATGAAGACGTGTGAATCCATGATTCTAATGACACGGGAACGCCTATGTAACAGCCTTCAAAACCACATAATCTTGCAAGACATAGAAAGCAGGATTTTAGGTTTAAAAGAAAGCAAGAGAATTACCTGTTCTGAACCAGGAGAAGTCAAGACAACTGAATTTCCCTGAGGAAACAAGATACTCAAGCTACACACCCCATTAGCGAAGGTACACCTGTAGTAAGCTTCAGTTGTATTATAAATGAAAGCCCTGACTGTGAGGTTTAATTCCACCTGTTCAATGTTAAAATCAACACAATTTTCACGTTAAAAAAGATGTAACCAAAGAAGGGAAGGAAGGCAGGGAAACAGTATCTGATAGAAATAAAGGGTTTAGTGAAATCAGATGGAATCGTGGGCTTTGTTGTCACCCAAAGCATCTACTTGAACTTGAGATATCAATTCTATATAGCCGCCACTCAAATCTGATTTGGCAGGTTCAGTGTTTATTGGAACTAATATTTTGAAGTCATAATTGCTAGGAAAATGGATCCATGGTAATTCAGTTTTGCCCACCTTGTCCATCTGATATTCATATAGACTTTCAACATAATAAATCGAGATGACCAATATTAAGGTTCTCATTTTTCATTTCCTTGCCATTAAAGAACGCACTAAATTGGTTACATTTATCATACAAATAACAATCCATGTCATTCTTTCCTATACTTCTATAGCTGCAGCCTTGCAGAAATAAGCACCCTCATCCCAAAGTTTTATTTGAAATTGCTGCAGTTACACAAGGCAGCATTGCTTTAATGGATTAAAGTAGCTCTCTCTAAATAAGTTGATAATATTCTTCAATCATATCTTAATATCGATCCTGACAAACTAAAAGGGACAAGCAGCATGAAATGTTTCTATTTCTGAAATTGGTAAAGAAGCAATTAAGATCTCAATATCTCAAATATTTTAGCAGCACCTCTGACAAAAGAACCAAATCAGCAAACCTAGATAGGCAGGTCAAATTTTCACAATTACCTGCACGTCCTCTGAGTTCAAATTACCCAGTGCAATATAGTAACTTGAAGATATATATATGTCCTGCTCAATCATACCGCTCCCTACCAAAATGTCAGAGTCAGTATAAAACTATTTTATGATAAGAACATTCATACTTTTTGCACTTCACCTCACCATGAACAATGTTCCATGATAAAGTGGTGTTAGGATAGGTTGGGTTCTCAAGCCATTGAGAAATGCCCTCACTGCCTGCAATGTGATAAAATAACTTGAAGCATTAAATTCCCAAGATTCTATTACTTAATTTACAACATTTCCACACACACTGTGTGGAAACAATTTCTGGAAAAGCTATTACTGTTTTAGGATACCTTGAGCAATTATAAGGAAAACATAGGAGCCTGCTGAGTTCACATTATATGAAATATTAACTTGAGATCCCCTGTTCAAATAATAAATCCAATCCTGGATAACATCAAAAAATTGGAAGTCAAAAACATATTTAGAACCAACTTATTCAAGCTAAAAGTAAAATGAAACAAAAATCAAACTTGCCTTGTGAGAATCAGCTTGAACAGTGGCCGTATAAGTTTCAGACCAGGTAGTCACTACATCTAGAGATGGAGATTTATAAAATCCATATAGTTTGAGACCAGGCTTGGTATCATCTATCTCCTCTATCTAATACAAACCCAAATAAGCTATAAAGCAAAAAAAAAAAAAAAAAACCCTCCCTCCAAAGAAAAGCATAAATGAATCAAAAATTAGAAAAAGGAAAAAAGGCAAATCACCTTTACACTCTGAACAAAAATTGGATTCGGTTGAATAAGCAGAGAACAATTTGGACCAAGTTGTATATTCAGCGTCCCGTAAACCCCCAAAATCAAAGTTGTCGAAACTGTTCCATCCAAAAAATTAAGCTAAAAAAATTCAACATACAAAATAAAAGCTTTACTTTTAATTAAAGAACGAGAGATCACAAGAAAGGTAAAGGGAAAAAAAGAAAAAGATACGAACCAAAAAACCAAAAAGTGGCAACCACGATGATGCAAGACCACGTGTCATCTCTAATCATCGGAGGTGAATCATCAAAAGCAGATAAGTTTCCTCTATAAGAAAGAAGGCCGCCCATGTGTTCATTCTCTAGCTCTGGATTATGAAAATTATGCTGCTGTGGATACTCGTGATCTCGCTCCTCCTCTTCCTCGCGAACCTGTGAAGAACTCGAAGACGACGCCGCAGTGCCTGAATCCTCCCTGTAAGACGAAGATGAAGATGCGAAGGCGGTAGGTGAACTCCGATTTGGCTCAGCCATTCTAGATTGGAGGGTTTTAAAAGATGTAGTTAAAATTTTGAGAAATTGAAAAGGAAACACTAACGCTAGGGATTAAAGAAATAGTTACCTTGAAAAATTGGGGGAGAGGAGTCCATGAAAGAGAGTGGAAGAACTTGGAGTTTAACTGAAAGCTCACCAATCAGTCCTTCCTCATCTTGCTATGACTGGTAGTTGTTGGAAGCGGCTTCCGCTGACGGTTATTAGCTACTAAGGTGGTTATAGCCATATAGGTGGACAAATAATTTTGCGAAAGTTTATACGTGGCGAGTGATTATTGGATTCTTGAAAGTCGAACAACAATTCAGTTAGGTGTATGACCGACGCTGCTTTCCTTGAGGAAAGTCGCAGTAGTTGTCGCTGTCTCTGATTACTGTTCTCTCGGTGCGTTTTGGTATGGTGCGATGTTTTTAAAATCGAAGCCGATTTAATTTATTGTTTTTTCTATCGTAATTTGGAAATTTTTATGTGATAGTGGTTTTATTAAAAGTGATCAAATCATTCTCACGGATAAATTTGAATTTCATCCAAAAAATAAAAAATAAAATTTATCATTTGAAAAATATCTTCAAAATTATTTTTAAAATAATTTTATTTTCAAAGTGTTCACCAATTTTTTTTTTTTCAAATTATTCGTTTTTATAAGCAACTCCTTACTTTTAATAATCATGTGATGCGTAAATGCGAGCATGTTAAAAACTTTAAATTCTTTTTATTGAAATCTATTTATAGTTTTGTTGATGGTATTTCGGATAAAAGTGGATTTAGGATGAATTTAAAGTGATTTTGACTTGCAGCTAGAAAAGTACAATTATATGTGTCCAAGTTTGTTTTTTGAGATGCTTTTATTGTCAATAAAGTGTATTAAATAAGGTTAAGTAAAAAGAAAAGCATCGAGAAAACTTAAAAGATGAAGGGTTCGAAATGATATATTTGAATTTTTTTTAATCTTATATATAAGATATAAAGCGATAACGTAACGTGTGTACGTGACTATTTATAAAAAAAATCTCATGTCAAATTTAAAAAGAAATTCACATGTAGATTGAATTATCATAAAATTATTTATTAATGAAATGTTAATCAAAATAGTTAGATGAGTCGTCTCCGTGAACAAAAAGGTCAAAGTTGGTCTTAGAAGATGAAATTGTGTGATGGTGAGGAACTTGGTTATCGATCCTTCTTGATAGTAATGTGACAATGGAAAATGCATTAACACAACGAATATGAGGATTGATTAAGAAATTAGTTGTAAAAAGTTTATACTTTTGTAATATTTTATTATAAAAGTGAATTTTATTTTATAAATGATTCATTCAATGAAAATTAATCATTCTAATATCATTAAGTAATCATTCTAATATCATCAATGTAATAAAATCACCATGTTTATTTTAAAAGTTATAGTAGCAATGGCTATCATAAAGAAAACTGTCCAACCACAAGTGGAAGTAAATAAACTAAACTCTATTTAGCCAAGAGTAGAGGGAACCTTTTATTAGATTTAATAATTTTAAATACAATGATATGATATTAAAATAATATGAAAAAAATTATATATATGTTTAAAAATATATATATTATATTTTTTTGTGTCTACACAATACAATGTTTGTCATAAATATGTTGATAGATCTAAATATGTAAAATGATACGAATAATATATTTAATTTAATCTTATCATATGACATGTTTAACACATTTAACATATTTTTTATATTTATTTTAATTTAATATAAGTATATAAAGATTATTTTAATTTGTAATTTTTTAATTATGATGCTTAATTAACTATTTAATATCATATAAAAATTATATTAAACATTTAATTATGATACTTATTTAATAATTATTATAAAATTATTTTTTTACATTAATTATATAAATACAATATAAATATTAATATTAGTCTAATAAATTATTATTTTATTCTTTAAACTTTAATAGTTTATCATTTTAAATTTATACTAGAAATTAATATAGTTATGTAATATGAATTAAAATTAAAAAATATATATTAAATACATATTAAATGAGTATTAATTTTTTTTATTTTTTTAATATGTAAATATTTTTTTATATTATTAATATGTTAAATTTGTTAAATTGTAAATAATTAATAATTTATAGTTATTTATTATTTTAGTCATATTTTTATATATATTCATATTAATCATATGTATTCATTCATATATATATATTTATATTAGTCGTATCTATTTGGGTATATTTATATTATTTGTATTTATTCGTATTATGTTTAAACGAATTAATTATACATGTATTAATTATATTGTGTCACGAGTAATATATATATTAAATATGTTATGTTCGTGTTTAAAATTTAAATGCGATTTATAATTTATGTCATGTTCGTATTTTAATAATTCATATTAGTATATGTATTAAATATGATACGAGATATGATATGAAAACATGAATTTTTAGATTTATCTTTTACAAAGGAAAACGGTCGAACGGCAAGACATTGCAGCCAACAAGCGAAACCAGTGAACATACATTGAAGGGAACTGAATCTGTTGTTTGGAAAAAGGAGAGTGGTAATATCCACAAGTAATATAAAGAGAATCACCAAGATTAGGAAGGAAAGGTTAGAATAAGATTATAGGAAGAGCAGATTCATTTGCAATAATAATTTAACTAGCTAGGTTTTGTGGGGATGGCCAATGGTTGGAAGGTAGTAAAACGCGATGATATTAGAAGTTTGTTCAGACATGGGTGGAAGGCAATTGGATTATGCAAGAGAGGATGGTACAAGATCCGGATGAAATTCTTCAAAATTTAAAAACATGTTAGCTTCCATGCCATGGCTGGAACAAATCGACACCTTGTCGATTGCAAATATATTTAATCCATGAGAAAACTTGATTGCAGAGGTATAGTGTTTTTCCTAGTTCCTGCGAAATGAGAAAAGAAATCCTTGTTTGATTGATTTCTTGTAGTCTCAGATACTTGCGTATCTTTTCCCATTGGATTTCATTCTGAGATCTTGAAAATGAATGAAAGTGACAGGAATGTTTCAGAGCAACGAAAAATGAAAAGCTTGGAACTTGATAAAGCTAAAACACAGACCAAATATGGCCTCACCAAGCTTGGAACTAAACAACAGAGCTTAGCATCATTTTTTCTTTTTTCTTTTATGTTAATTGCACAATGATCCAGCTGGGAGGTCTATGCTCCAATTATGCAACTCAATTTTATAAGTTTTTATAAAACCAAAGAGAATGGAAAAAAGACAAGTCAACATTCAGTGCTGAAAATTGTAGCAATCGCCAAAAATGGAAATGAAATTTATAGGTATAACAATAGCGTCTCAGTTGTCTTCGATGGAACAACTTAATGGTTAGACTTTAAAGTTTCATTTTTTAAAGTCTCAAACTTGAATTTGGGATAATTTAATACTATATGTATAAAAAAAAAATAAAGACTTTTTACTTGAGAAATGAAAGAATATGAATAAATAAGACACTTGTTACTTACATTTTCTTAAAATTATTTACTTAAAACTTATTGTATCTAAAATTATTATAATCTTAAAAAGAATTACTATCTTTTTATATCAATTAAAAATCAAGAAGGAAATAAGACTAGGAAAATAATGAGAAAATTTCTTTATTGTATTCATGTAAAATGTGAATTCTAATAAAATTAAGATTGGATTTTCAATATTTACAAAATTTTATTTTATGGTTATTTTTATATTTTCGTTTTCTATCTAAAAAATATATAATGTAATAAATTTAAATATTTCAATGATATTAAAATGGACTTCAAGATTGAAGGTTTCCATTTCAAATTTCAAATTAATTCAAAAAATAAAAAGAATATCAACAAATTTTTTATTTTTTATTGAAAAAAATAATTTTCACCCATCTTTAGAATTAACCATAAATAATTTTAAAAAAAAAAATTAAAGAAAGCGGTCATAAATTTAAACAAAAAAAGTCTTTGTACTAAAAAAAAAAAAAAAGATTCCTCTTGCTTTGGAAAGGCTAGTTCGATGTTTGTCCCGGGGCTATAAGAGGATTTTACATTAAACCGCATGCCCAACTCTCTTCCTATGTATTTCATTCCGCCATTAAAAATTACCCAAGACAATAAAGTCATTCACCTCCCAACACGTCAAAATTCAACAAACTGCCACTCCGGCGCCCAACGTCCCACTATCCTTGTCAAAAAAAAAATAAAAATAAAAATAAAAACACTCGCAGAAGAAAGCTCAGGTCTGTAGAAATCCCAAATTAAAATTCGAAGGGTTAAAATAAAACCCTAATCTCCCTCCGTCTTAATCTCTCAATATCGATTCGATTTGATTCGAATCGGGAGCTTAAAGCGATGGGCGATTTCAACCTCGCTCTGGTAATCGTAGCCATAATCGTATGTGTCCTAGTCTTCCTTTGCAATGTCTACCTCCTCGTCAATTACCAGCATCCGGACGACGCTAACCAAGCTTATTTCCCCAAATTCGTCGTCGTTTTTGGGCTCTCCATCTCCATCATTTCCATACTCATGTTACCGGCTGATGTCGCCAATCGGCAGGCCTGTAAGCACGCGATATACAATGGCGCTTGTAATCTCACCTTGCCTATGAAAGATCTCTGGCTTGCCGTTTATATTATTGATGCCGTGCTCGTTTTCTTCGTAATACCCTTCGCCATGTTCTACTACGAAGGAGACCAGGATAAGTATGTGTTTCTAGGACTTTGATTGTTAAAAGCCATTATCATATTGATGCATTCCTCTATTTTTATTTTATTTCATCTATTTTTTTTGGTTGCAGGAGTGTTGGCAAACGGATAAAGAGTGCGTTGCTGTGGGTGGTGACAACGGCAATTGTTTGTGCTCTCCTGCTTGGCATTCTATACGGTTGGTTTTTCATTTCCCCCCTTTTTTAATTTTAATTTAATTTTAATTTTATTTTTAATCAATAAGTTTTTTTCATGCCATGGATGTATTGAGCTGAATGTTAATTGAGGAATTGGAGGACTATGATGTTGATTACTGGGATATTCAGTTGACGTGTTTAATACAAATTTTGATTTAAGGTGCTTTTACACTCATAAGATATTAGCAAATGTTTTAAATAGGCAGGCATGCTAGAACTGGACAATTGTCTTTGCATTTGTTGATTGTGAGTGTGTGTATTTTTTGGTATTAGTATGGCTGGCCTACCATTGATTTTATCCTTTTTGATGGTAAATCAGGGCTAGTTGGAAAGGTGGATTTTACTGTTAGACACCTGTCTTCTGCCACTACTAATTTCCCCAGTACTTGGGAATTCTCTAGCAGTCAGCCATGTATTGGTGGAAGTGGTGCACGTGCTGTTAGTAATTGATTTTCCATTTACTTTGCAATGTTATCCTTTCTTTATTCCATTAGAATATTGTGGTTTACCTCATTATTTTACATTCTCTTTTGTTATTGTCCCTTTGGTTGCAGTGCTCAGCATATACTGCAAATGCTTCATCTGAGAAAACATGGACTATGCGCACTACCTTTCCAGAATATGTTGTTGCTCTTGCTACAGTTGTTGGATCTGTTCTTTTTTCGGTATTGAATTTCTTGCTAATTAAATATTATATTTCTGATTGCAATTTGGATAGCAATTCTATTTTGTAAATGTTGTCCTTTTTTTTTGTTAGAATATATTGCTTACATCTTGAAATTTTTTGTCAGATATTTGGTGGTGTAGGAATTGCTTGTCTGCCTCTTGGGCTTATTTCTTCATTTATCCGCCGCCCTAAGTCTGTTATCACTCGCTCACAGTATATTAAGGTGCTTTTTTTATTGCTTATGATGTTGACATATCAAACCATGCATTAGAGTTGGAACATAGTATTGATGTTTTAATTGCTCATATTTATAGTCGTAATTAATATTGTAGGAAGCAACCGAACTTGGTAAAAAGGCAAGAGAATTGAAGAAAGCAGTTGATGCACTTCATCAGGAAGAAAGAAGTGGTTCTAAGGGTAGAAAGTGGCGTAAAAATGTTAAGGCTGTGGAAAAGGTATATGCTAAGTCTTAAATTTTGCATTTTTCTTTGAATTCTATTTTGTGTCATTTTATATGTTAATATTTATGTTGACCGAGCTAGCTTTAGTTATTAGTTCTATATCCCTCTTGTTCTAATGTTATCTGTTTATTAAGTTTTCCTATTGGGCTTAAAGATCAGATTCTTTCAACAATTTGGCTTGTGTTATAACTTTATGATTCTTAAGCTTACTTATATTTTGACCATGGTATTAACTTGTGGTAGTTTCTTTAGCCGTTGCTTAGTAAAGAGTTGAAGTTAATCGAGTGAGGGTATGTTTTTTAGGGGGATGATAAAATAGCTGTCGAATGGTGTTTTCACATATTTGCCATTGTTCATTATTCGTGGCTATTGAAATTGTTCGATTGTTGATTGAATCTGCAGGAATTGCTTCAGCTGGAAGAAGATGTAAAGCTTTTGGAAGAGATGTACCCTCAAGGAGAAAAGGTATCTAATATGACTTGCTGAGCTTAGTGTACACATGAATACTTGGTTACAGTCCCATTCCCTTCCTCCTCCACCCTTATTTTTCCTCTTCCAGTATTAACTCCCTTGCCATGACATTTCAGGCTGAAACATCCTGGGCCTTGACGGTTCTTGGATACTTGGCAAAACTTGTGTTGGGAATCTTAGGGTGAGCGCTTAGTTCATGTATTGTACTACCAGTAGATGGTTTTTTTATGTCCAGGGCTGTATTTGTTGTTGTGAATTAGCAATTGAGTTTAGATATTTTCATGCACCCTCTGGAAGACAGTGCTTAATGTAAATAAGCTATAATAACAGGAAATTTTTAAGTGTGAGGCTTATATATGCACTGAATAGAAATAAAGTCACAATGAACTCATTAAAGTCTCTTTCCATCCACTAAACTGATGAGGTTGCCCCCTGACTTGCTAAAAGGAGTTGTTTAACTTGCAATTTGTCCTGCACTTTGTTAGATTGATTGTTTCAGTGGCTTGGGTTGCTCATATTGTCATATACCTTCTGATTGATCCACCACTTTCTCCCTTTCTGAATGAGGTTTTCATCAAGCTGGATGATATATGGGGTAATTCCTAAACCATTTTAAAATTTAATTCTTTCCATTTAGCTGCTTTTAAAATTTATGGGGATCTATCTTTTGTATTTTGTCAGGTCTCCTTGGTACTGCAGCATTTGCATTCTTTTGCTTCTACCTTCTGCTTGCTGTTATTGCTGGTGCAATGATGCTTGGTCTGAGATTAGTTTTCATTACGATTCATCCAATGAAGTAATGGATTTCATGCTGATGCTATTTTGGTTAATTTTCTATCATCAAGAAAATCACTAGGTGGCTTATATATGTTTAATTTACTTTTTCATAGGTGGGGAGCTACTCTAATGAACTCTTTTCTGTTCAATGTGGCGCTTATTCTTTTGTGCTCAATAAGGTAGTTGACCGAGCTCATTTCCATGTTATCTCGAGGGGTCTGCTATTAGAACTTTGTTGAAATTTTATCTCCATGTTTGTGCTTGGTTGATGAAAATTTATTATGTTGTAATTTAATGGAAACTTATTTCCAACATTATTTGACGGGAATATTGTCTGTGTTTGCAATTTCAGTATCATACAGTTCTGTTCCACAGCATTTGGATACTATGCCCAAGCAACAGCTGCCCAGGAAATATTTGGCCACACATTGCAGTCTCTTCGTGGAATTAAATATTTGTACAAGTGAGTGTATACTGTTTGAAATCCCAGTTTTCCCCTGATCAGGCATGCATGTGTTCTACTGATGTTGAAATTGTCATTACAGGTATAATGTATTTCAAATTGCATTCATTGTTCTAGCGGGATTGACCTTTGTGTATTATGTTGCTTTTGTAAGTTTTCAGCTCTTTACTTTCTCTCTTTTCTTTCATTCTTCTGAGTAATTGCCTGTGTGTGCTTCCTGGATTCCAAGGTCCGATTCTCTTCTTGTTTTGGACATTTCAGGGCTGGAGAAGAAAAAAGCCTAGCGGTAGGTTCCAACTTTCATCTTAAGAATGTTTTGCCCAGAAGATGATGCATCCTCTTGAGCTAACAGAATTCTGTTTTATCATCCCTTTTGGAGTGTTTTTCATATGCTCGGGTGCCTACAGGCTACTGCCTGGTTTCGTCCTAATGTGGAAGGTTTAGAGACATCGGCAAATGCCATCCGAGTTTGGTTGCCTGAAGTAGGAGCATGACGAGTGCTGCTACTGCTCTTCTTTATGATTTCTTTCCTCCAAGCTTGTTAATATCGTACAAATAACGTTTCGATTTTTTTAAAAAAATATAGCATATATCGGTATTAGTTATTTTGGTATATAATTTTGAATTTTTTGGTTTAGTACAAATATATTTATAAACATATATGAACTTCTACATTATAATATTATTAATAATTTATAAAATAAATATGTAATATATTCAAAAATTAAATAAATAAGTTTAAAAGCATAAAAAATAATATCATAAAATTTTTATGATATTTTTAAGCATTTAATTTGGTCATGATATTTAAATAAGTATTTTTCATATAAATATTAAGATAAAAACAAGGAGATGAAAAAAATTAATAAAGATTTTATGATTGTTAAATTTTATAAAAGGAGTATAATTGTTTTTTTGAAAAAAAATAAAATATTTATAAATTTTGGTTGTAAAAAAAATTAAAATAAAAAAAAATACAATTTTTAAGAGATATGTTGTTAATTAGTTTTATTTTTATTAGATTAAAATAATTAAATAACAAAAAAATAAGTTAAAAATTAAAAATTATATTTTATATTCATAATTGAAATATATTATTTTATTAAAATTCATTGAAACAAGTTGAAATTAATAAAAATAATAAGTATTATCTGATATTAAATTTGATACTAAAAATTATTTTTATAATTATAATATACCGACTGATACGGCCGACATCGAAACAAAATTAACAATTATCCATTCCTCGCCTCTTGTATGTGTTACTATTTATTGTTAAGTTAATGTTACCACATTCGGCTTGGGCATGTAATTGAGGTATCCTTGAAAGCTGACACATGGAAAATGGGTTTGTAGAACTTGTTTTGATGTAATACAACCATCATAGAAGAGAAAAATTAATGACCAAATTTATGCTTTTGTTTGCCGGAATCGTACGATATTCCCCAATAGTTGCCTGGTTAACTCGAATTGAAGCTCTGGTTGCGCTCAAGGCTTGGTGTCTTCAAAAAATGGTTTCAGATCGACATTTGTAGCTGTAATGGAATTGAAATTGTATTTGGAAGGTAAAGTTGTGACAATTACCATGAGAGTATTTGTCAATCCTAGAGAAGAAACATGCTTATGGAATTATGATCATGAGCAGTTTTACATGGGAGGTAGGCCACCTTGTAATGAGTTATTTCAAGAAGCTATAAGAAAGAAATGAAAGGCCTATTGACAAGGATTAGGACTATTCCCATTGCACGCTTCGTGAAAATTCAAGCTGTGCAATGCTAATGTTGCTCCTCCCGTCTTGGCTGATGGGATCATAGACCGATTCCTCCCCGAATTCAGTTGGTAATGACCTCCAGTATAAACTTGGTTTCCACTCTGCCTCTCTCAGGCCTTTCAAGATTTCTTTAGCAACTAACTTGCTCCCCTCAGAGGAGAGATGGATGCCATCCCTTTACCAAAAAAAAATAAAAATAAATAAATAATAAAAATCAGAGATATCATTCCGAGTGGACAAGCCTTCTTTTTTACAAATTAAGACAACAAAAAAAAAAAAGTTGAAAGAGTTTCAAGATTTGGAGGAAAAAAACATTTTTATGTGCTTTGCATTTCATTGGAATCATTAAAACACAGAAATGACCTCTTCAAATCTAAACATTTCTGTCAATAAAAAGCCAGACATGAAAGCAACTTACGTAAAGCAAGCTGTCTTCCAATCATCTCTCTGCTGGAGTGCAGTCCAAAGATCAATACCTTTTACATCCAGTTCTTTGCATAGTCTTATACAAGCTTCAGAGTAAACCCGGCAGGCTTCATTGGAACGACCCCGAACACCAATAGTTTGAACTATTTGTTCCTCATTCACTGGAGGAGCACTAAGAAACATTACACAAGTCTTGTCTGATAGACCCTGAAGATAAAAAATAAGCAAAGCATCACAGTCTGTACTAATTAAGAGCATATCTAGGGAGAGAATCAGGTATTGTACCATATATAGCGCCTGAAGGTGGTTCAGTGACATCAGTGCTCACGGTTTATACCAGATGATTTAATGTTAATTAATCTTCAGGTATTCATAGTTTAAGTAGGTATTTATTTGAAAACATAAAGAGAATGATTGCATTACTGGAAGGCATAGACGCATTGCAGTTGTTAGAATTCATCAGATAATCAGATTGTCCAGCTTATTCTACTTCTAATATGGGTTGAATTGAGTTTGATAATGTACCTTGAGATGCAAAGCAATCTTCTTCATATTCTCAACAAATTCTGGAAGAGGTACATGAGGGCCAAGGCCAGATGGGTTGGGTTCCATGGAATCGTTACCACCAAAATAGACTATCACCAATGAAGGTTGTACAACAGCATCCTCCATATCATTGAAAATAAGAACATTAATAATCGAGCATCTGTTTATAAATGATTTTGAGAACAAATAAAAGGTCCATATGATATTCTCCAACCTAGATATGAAGTCAGCCATAAAACATATATTACCTTTGGAAAGACTTGATGTAGAACCTCTAAAGCATGCCTTGAGTTCCAGCCAGCATATCCTCGCAGTAATATGTCAGCCTATGTCCAATTACAGACAATTTAGTTTTAACACTCTGATGTTTGTTAAGAATTGACTATGCAGTTAAAAAAAACCTTTTATTTATAGAAATTAACCTTGCCATAAATCATAGAGCTCCATTGTTTTAGCTTGATCCAAATATATATTGATTTTACTATGTTAAAATATATTGATATTCAAGGCATGAAATGAAAAGGAAATTTTACTCTTCCCAGCGTAACAATAGAAATCATGAAAAGAAACATGAATAAACCATTAAAACAATGTATCCGCACTTCCATCTCCACTTTTTAATGCAAAATCATATTGTTTTGAACAATTCTCACATAAGCACGCTGCATAGCTAGCTGGCAGCGCTCTGCGCTCCAGTACTCCAGCTTAGAAGTTGAGGATACCTGCCACATCTCTTCAATTTTTCTTTTGCCAAAGTAGGTAAAAAAAAAAGGTATTGTGTCATTCTCATTTTCTCAATTTTTACAAGTGGATAAATGTTTCATCCTCAACAAAATTTCTGTCATCAAATACAGCATTTCTATTCATAACAATTAACCTATCTACATCGAGTGAATGGTGCTCTTATTTGAAATAGCAACAATTGCAAAATATGGATAGCTATAGTGGGTGGTTGCGTTGCATTATCATTTTCAGCCACCCTGTATTAAAAACTCTCTTACCCTCGGCTCTCCTCGTGTATTTGAACGTTAGGTGCCTTATGATTTAGCTTTAATAACAAAAGTTGAAGAGCCTGTTATAAGAAAAGGAAATTAATTAAGGAATTTTGTTTTCTTTTTTACAATTTTATGCAGCAGAAAATTGAACATGATCAACAATCAAACCTCTCTCTTAAAGAAAGAATAATGAATCATTGAGAAAAGAAAAAGTAAACATGGATCCCACCCACCACTATGAAAAAAAGGTGTGAAATCTCTTCTCTGTTCATCAAAATAGCTGAAAAGACACACGTAGACTTCCCCAGCAAAAACAAAACCGAAAACAACAAATCTACAACTTTTTAGGATGATATGAATTCTGGGTATCAATGAAATCACTCTCATTTCATACTAATATTAACCCCAGAAAAAGATAAATGCAATATTAAGAAAAGAAAGAGTAGAAAAACAGAGATAAAATACCTTGCGAGCATATACATCAGCCAGAATTGCACCCCAACCATCTCTACCATAACTAAACTGAACGATGGAAGATCCAAAAAGAACAAAGAGAGGCCGGCCTGTACCAATCATGTTTGATCTTTTCTAAAATTTTAAGGTTTTTCCTTGCTGTTGTTCGGTTCAGATCAAAGTACTACTCATTCTAATCTTTATGTTTTCCCTTCTGATTTTCGCTCTGCAGTTCTCTCACAGTCAACTTTGATTGGATGAATATGCTTTAGATGGTTCAGAGGCAGCCGTCTTCAATCTTTAAGTACTTACACAATACACGTGGAAAACCACTGCGGCTTTTTTTTTTTAATGAAAATCCAAACATAAAAGAGAGGCACCCCAGTGAGAGCCCAGCCCACCCTGATTTTGTCCTTTTCCTTCTCACTCATAGGCAGCATCTTCCCATCTAATTTCCTTGCACGCGTAATTCTTATTCTCTTTCACCCTGTCCCTTCATTATAAAATTGGATGCAACAAAAAAAATAAAACAAGAAAGTTGATGTCAAATTTGCAAGTAAAATAACCCAAGCCTGTAGTCGTCTGGGTTAACACCTCCCCGGGAGCCCAACTAAAGCCAGTAGTATTTGGGCTATCTTTTTGCCCACATAAAGCAGAGAATGCTGACAAAGCCTGTGGTTTGGTCATGAATGACTTAACTTATGGCCCAAAATTAGCCCATAAAATACCAGGCGAGCGTCGGCCTCTGGTTAGATTTTAGTCTTCGTTTCGGCGGAGAACTTCTTCGCTGTTGCAGTATTGAGGTAGAAGGGAAAACAAAGGGAATGGACATAGCTCTCTTTTCTCCATCTTCACTTTTCACCGACGACGAAGAAGTCTCTGTTGGTATTCTTTCTCTTTTTATATTTATTGATATTTTCGCTTTACTTTGATGGTTTTACAAAGAACTCTCGACCCTTTTTCTCTTTACAGATGAGGAAAATACAGATACCCATCAGAGCTATGTGGAGAGGAGGCACCAGTTTCCTGGCATGGTATGTCTCTTCTATTAGAATATATTTATTACCCATTTCGTAGTTTTGCTTTAGCTAATCCAAATTTAGCTGTGTATGTTCTTCGAGTGTTATTTTGCATTCTTACCCATGTTTCCATCCATTTATACATGCCCATGAATCGTACCAAAAACCTTCCTTTCATTCAAACTAAGTTTGTAACTTTTTGTAGTTAATGGAAAAGTTATTAGCTTCTGAAAAAGTTCTAACTTTTCCTTAGGATTACAGTGCTTTCTGTTAACAATACTTAATTGGTATGAAAATGGCTTTGAAAAAATAGGATTTTCTCATTGATTAGTTTTCACTAAATATGAAATTATATGAGTGCAGACAGTTTGGTAGAAGGCCGGGCTCGAATGAGATGATTTAGATGTAGAGTTATCGTGTACTCTGTACTCTGTAGTATGATAAGTAGTGGAGGAAAAAAGTGTACCTCTGAACTTACTGGGAAGCAAATTGGATGATGGATTGAAGTAAGCTTGGTAGAGCTTAACTGTAATGGTTTCTTGAATTTCTAATATCATATTGGGATTTGCTCAACTTTACTGCTGCCATGATTCACTGCTGATACCATATCAGAAATCTGTAGCTCTTAGAATTAGTGGAAATCATAGTTGACTATAGCATAGCAATTTTGTGAAAACCTTATTCTGGTTATTGAGTACTTGTTTTCAGAATTCACCGAAGTTTACCTGTTTTATACCTATATATCATTATATGCATTTTGGCTTGTGTGCAGGAGTTGCTTATTCGAGAATTTTCCTTTCACCAGTTGAATGCTAACTTACTCTGGCCAGGTACATTTGCATTTGCAGAATGGCTAGTTCAACATCGACCATGGATAGAAGGCTGTTGTTGCCTTGAATTAGGCAGGTAATCCTTCAGCTACAGGAGAAAAAAAATTGTATGATTCTATGAGAGTGCACCTTTATTTTGGTTGTTTGTTCTCTATTGTAGTGCATCTATCTAATATGCATTCCTTTATTTAATAAACTGTGTTGTACTCAGTGGGCTGTTTATCATTAACTGTAGTTGCATATTGAGCAAAGACTATTATCAGTGATTAAGTTTGTCTAAACATTGCTCTTCTGAGACATGAATTTGGAATAGTTTAAGCATTGAGGTGTCGTCTTAGCTGCAAATATATTCACCTTTTAGAATTATGAACACAAGTTAACTTTTTCTTTGAATTTCTAAGTGTATTTTTTTGTACTGCTTTCAAAGCAACCTTAATCTGATTTTTAATTTGTTTCATTTCTAAGAATTGTTCGATATAATTCTGCATTTGAATTTTTTTTTTTGATATTTTTCTTGGTGGCTTTGATTCTTTAATGTTGGCAGTGGGACTGGAGCTTTGGCTATTTTTCTCCGAAAATCATTTAATCTTGACATAACAACATCAGACTATGATGATCAGGAAATTGAAGAGAACATAGCTCACAACTGCCAGGCAAATGGAATTATGCCTGTCCTTCCTCACATAAAGCGTGAGTTCCCTTTAGTCTTAATGGTCATGACTAATCTAACATTTTTACAGTCAACTACTAAGAAGAAGAAACACGAAGTGAAGATTTCATGATATATTATTAAAGTACAGTTTCATTGTTTTTCAGACTCATGGGGAGACACCTTTCCAGCTGCTGTTCCACACTGGGACCTGATCATTGCAAGTGATATCCTATTGTGTGAGCTTCTGTTTATTTAGCTTCTGCAATTTACATTATATGCTTGAAGAAAGGCAGATACACGGATGAATTCATAGTTTTATTTTCCTCTTTTTTTTTATTGTACATTAATGTTTGCATTCAATAGAAACATGGAAAAACGTTAGCACTCTAGAGTAGAATTTTGAGAACCACCATCTTTGAATGATGTGGACCTCAAAGAGTGATAAACCAGAAAATCAAGAAGCTTGGAAACAAGCTTCTTGCTGTGATGATATTTTTAATTATCTATAATCTTTGGAAATCCACTGATTACACGTAAATGGTTTTGAAAACTGAAGATGGTATCATTATCTTGGCTAAAGGGGCTGATATTTGACAATATCTTAGGAATAACTTGAAACTTTGTAGTGGATTAGAGCAATTTTCTGTTTTGGATTTAATTCTGCTTCCTTTATGAATCCTAGCAAAACTTTGATGCTCATTGAACTTTATGTTATGACTAAATCTCCTATTTCTTACCAAGGAATGCTTAAACATGTTATATCCATTTCTTTGGCTCTTGCAGATGTCAAACAGTACCCTAGCTTGATAAAGTCTCTCTCTTATCTCCTAAAATCTTACAAGCCAAAAGATGACAAAGCTGTTCCTCTTGTGGGAAATAACCAAAGCGGTGGTAACGAGCCAACAAACACTTTTAATATGTTTTTGTGGAAGAAGTTGAAACTACTTTACAAAATGGATAGAATCTGTTGTAGGTCATTTTTTGCTGATTTATCTCTACTGCTTGCTGGCAGGAATGTCCATGGGATTGCCTCTACCAGCATTTCTAATGAGCTGGAGACGCAGAATTGGGAAGGAGGATGAATCACTCTTCTTCACTGGTTGTGAGAATGCTGGTCTGGAAGTAAAGCATATCGGATCCCGCGTATATTGCATTAAACCAAGAGAAAATATTAATTATATGATTAAGAATGGCTGAACTAGATGATTGAAGCGGGTATAAAATTAAGAATTGTACCTCAATTAAAGTGATAAATCAGGAACATGGTCATATTAGCTAGAATGGTTCTTTTAAAAGTTTGGAATGCAATGTTTCTCTTAAGACAAATACAAATTGTCTCAGTGATGCTATTGTGGAATTACTTTTGTCGGCTCTGGGAGTTTGGAACATTTCCGTAAACCATTTTGAATGGATTAAATACAAATTCTCCGAAGCTATTTATGGGAGAAGCAAATTCCAATACTCAAAATTTCAATGATCCAAAATAACCAACCACTGGAATCATAAATCATAGCTTCATGGTCTTAAATTTTCTTGTACATCGCTCGAAGGTGGTCCTCCATAACTGCATTGTCTTGCGTGGCAAATTAAGACAAGTCCTCTGTTTGTCTTTTATCCGAAAATTGAAAAAGCTTAGTACAGTTTCTTCTCAAGAAAAACAGAAAAAGACAAAGTACGGATGTGAAATTTGTTTTAACATATTCCAAAAATAAAAGATATTTTGAGTTCCTCTGATCCGTTTTTGAGAAGAGCTTCCACCAAAAGGTTCCCCCAAAAAACATGGGTGAGTTTAGGCAGCAATTGCCTTAGCAATCATTTACTTGCGGGGATTTTTTTTTATTAGGAAATTCTATGAAAATTAAGAAACCACATCTTTTATACCTTTTGCACTATTGCTTCTTAATGGATATTTTCCTGGAATTGTGTAGGAGTCTTCCATTTCATCTCAGTAGCATTTCTGCCTCTGTTTCCAATCACTTCCATTTGCAATCCAAAAGTTCCAAATGATGGATATCTAATTGTAACCTAACTTGCCATGATGAATATCTAACTTGATTGTAACCTACCTTGATCATCTGAACCACACCATATAAACTTGAATTGACAAATATAGCTCCTTAAGTTCAAAAATCGAGAAGCAATTGGTGAGACACATCTGCACTGACTAATTTTCTCTTGCCCTTGTCAACAGATATAGAGGAAAGTTCCTGGAAACTGCACTTGCCATTACCCTTCCCTATCATTGATGTATATGTACGACATCTCTGCTGAAAATTATTTCAAATATTAGCATCAAGGAAACCAACATCACTAATTTGGATGCATAAATAATTCCCTTTCTCGAAATAAGTTCATGACATTGATATCTTATATAGAACGAATTAAATCTTGATCCCAAGCATTGTTTTTTTGTGAATTATTATGGACTAGCTGACGCTGATGACCCATATCTTGCATGAATATTCTACATTTTCAGATGTGATAGAGGAAACTTCGCGGAAGCTGACTATGTTCAATAAACATGCTTGTGGGGCCGATTTTTGGCTGGGAAATTCAAATAACTGTAAAGAAAGGCATGCAGGAAATTGGAATATATAACCCAGAGATGTTGTATTTTGATTGGAGCGATTGATCAGGATCAGGAAGGCTATTATACCAATGGACATGGACTTAGCATTCGCAAATATTGATGAAGACGACAACATTTCATGCTTTTCCTATTTGATGTTCTACCCTTGGCTTTCAGTAAAATCGGCTGATTAAATTCATAATGAATTTTGATTATTCTCTAGTTTTTTAAAAAATAATGATTAAATGCCAATAATGTAGATGACATTATTTTGCCAAGAATCTTGTGATTTATTAGTAAATTGCTGAAACTTTAAATTTTCATAATCAAGTTTAACAATCTGAATTGTTAAAAAAAAAACAAAAAGATGACATTGCTTTGCAAAAATGATTTTCTCTCATTTTTGAGTTGTGAATGTAAGTAAATCTTTGAGAAGTTACATTAATTCAAATTCAAAAGGAAAAATAAAGATCCCAATCAAAATAGAAGGTAAAAAAGAAAGGAAATTAAAGATATTAGACGAAGAAAAGGATAGCCATGTCTCCAAGGTGAGCAATGTTCCACATGGAGAGCTAGCTGCTGGGTGCTTCAATGGCCACACAACTTCCCAAAACTAATATGTAATGATAAACCTTCCTGCAGTCGTTTAGCCAAATGTGACCCAGACAGTTACTGAATTTCCTGCAAATGTACCTTCCCCGCCCACCAAACCCTTTTTTTGAAAAATAATAAAAAACACTCAAATGAGTACAAATATTCAAAAAGAAATAATTGTATTTTTACCTGTCTTAAAAAAACATGGAAGCAATCGAAATATCTCTGTTGAGCGAAAACATTCTTCAGAGCAAAACATTTTCAAACTTGAGATTGAAAAACTTGATGGATAAGTTTTTTAACAAATTGAACTGCAAATATATAGGTCCTGAAAAGGCTTTAGTTCTTCACACTTTTTAACAGGGAAACTTCTTTCCTCCTTCCCTAATTTGACATTTTGCTCGAGTAAATGCCTCTAGTTATAAGGAATTTTGGTGTTATCCATGTCTAGAGATGACACTTGTAAAGTGCGTTTTTGCCTTTACCTCCCTACGTGATTTTAAAAGGCAACCTATTTTCTGTTGGGGAACTTACTTTTAGTCTTTGTTTGCTTCACTGTGATAAATTTTGGGTGAATTAGGAGTTGGGATTCTACCAAATTACTTTTGAAAGACAATACTATTACTAGTCAATAGAATTGAAGCAATAAGAATGTTCCATAAGTACTCTTTAGGTCGCCTTCAAACTTTTAATTTAGTAATTAAAAATATTTAAGAAATAATAAAAATCTTATTTCAAATCAAAATTTTATTCTTTTAATATATATAAAAAAAAAAAAAACTATCTTTAGGTCTTTGTTTGATGTCATTGCATCTCCTGTATTTACAATAGTCTACTCATATCTTTTGTCAATATCAAAAAAGGTTACATCCAAGCACCCATACCACAACCGTCAGCTTTGTACTTTCTATTTTTTAACGACGAGGTTTCAAGGAAAGTTCCTCGATATTGCCTTATCAGTACGGAAAACTGTACGTCCTCTTTTATATCTTTTGGGGTGACGATATTTTCCAACTTTGCTTTCGCTTGTTGAAAATCCACGCAAAAATATATCCCAAACGACGTTTAAAGCTTATGAAAAAAGTTAAAAAAAAGAATAACAGGCTCAACTCATCGAAGTTGATGTTTACATGTATCTTCTAAGACAACAACATTTTGAAACTAAGGTACAAATTTGTACGTAGCCAGGAGACTCAGGACAACGTACGTCAAAACCAGAGAAAATCGTCGGTGATTATATATAATAGTATATCAGTTTTATTTTTTCATGTCTGGGCTTGCTCTGTACATTTTCCTTTCTAATAATAAAATAAAAGTAATTGTCTGGGTAAGTCGTTAAAGGTCTACCCATATATCATTCCTCTCTTCATCCAGTTTTGCTTAAAAAATTTTGTACTTGCTTTCATTAATGCATGCTGGGAATGAAGTGCAATTTTGTTTGTATATATGACCGAAGGGTTGTAATTCATGCACGTACGTGTTGGAAGATTTATCTCAAGCTGCATTGTCTTTTTTTATTTTAGTAATTGAGACTGTTATGATTTAAAATTGAATTATTAAAATTAAGAGTTTAATTATTTATTAATATACAATACAATAGTTGTCATTTTTTTTTCTTTCACCTTAATTCTTTCACTAAACTCCGGTATTTTTTTAGCATTTACATCTCACTTTCACTGTTCATCATGTTAAGTATTTTTATTTTTACACATGTTATGAACGGGTACTCTAAAAGTTTTATTTAAAGTCAATTAAGTTATCATTTATAAAAATAATTTAGTATTTCTGATATGGTTATTGTAAAGGATGGTTCTTAATTAACTTAGCAAAATCCTATCTTTATTTCCGAAAAAGGATTTTTTTTAAAAAAAAATTCATGCACCTATCATTAATGAGTTAAGTATTTAATTAGTGGAATCCTAAATTTTTTAAATTCCACAAACGAAATTAAAAAATTAATAATGGCTAGTTTAGTATTGTTGTTACTATTAAAAAATTTCAGATTGAAAAAAATGCGTTTAAAAAATATAATTAAAATTTTAAATATTTAATATTAATGTAAACAATTATCATGAGCTATTGAAATGTCTAAAAAAATATGAATAAAATAATAAAATATTAAAAATATAAGATAACATAGTAATTTTTATTCCAAAAACATTTTTTTTATGATTAAAACACATTTTGAATAAATTTTTTATTTGGGTTATAAAACCAAACTTTTAAACTGAAAATCTAATTTTTATTTTTTAATAGGTTAGGTCAAAAGCACTTTTTGAACATAAAATCTATTTTTAATAGTAACGTTAAACTAAGTTTAAGTGTTTTTTTTAATATTAATTTCTTGAATATAAAAAAAAATCATCTTTTATTTATATTTTGTACTTTAAAATAATATATTATGGGTTAAAACATTGGTTCCTTGATATATCTATTGATGAAACAAGCTAGCTTTGCCAACTTAACCAGAAAAGAAATTAGACAAAGTAAAAAATAAAAAAAGCTAAGTATGCTTAAATGAAAAGAAGAGGAGATTAAATAATTGAAGAAAGAAGCAAAATATAATATGACAAAAACAATGTCATTATTTTTGGACACTTACTTTCTATATATTTTCTTCTATCCAAAATAAAAATTCAATTGATATATGTAATCACTTTTAAAAGATATATTTAATGGAGGTGAAGTTAAAACACAACAAAAAATAAACTTTTACTGATGGAATTTTTTGTCGGTAAAAGTCCATATTCTGTTAGTAATATTTTTACCGACGAAAAAATTTTGTCAATAGTACTCAAGTCAGTAATGCTATTCTATAGATAAAAGTCAAATTTCATAAGTAAATTCGGTTAGTAATTCTTCAGTAATCCATTGATAAAACTAAAATTCCATCAATAATAACTAAATTTCATTTGTAAAATTTGTTGGTATAATTTTAATTTCTTCCATAATTTAATTAATTTCATTTATAATAATTTAAGAAACCTATAAACATGTGTACTTAATTAAAAAGCTTATTATTTCTATTATTATTATTAATAAAAATAAAAAATTCATATATCAAATCTACATAATAACCATTAAATAAATCAAAATTATAAATTTAACATTCTTAACATCTCTAATATCCACAAAATATAATACTAAAAGTTAATTCATAACATCCATAAAAATATCCATAACATCAACAAAAT